CGGGACCATCATCGAGCACCATCGGTGCCGGTCCCCACCTTCCGAGGAGGTCTTGGCTGCGTTGTCACTGCGAGAAATACAACAGACATAAATGTAAAAAATGCTTTCCTGACCTGAAAACATGATATGCTTGAGTTACGCAGATACAAGTGCGGGAGGAAAGAAAATCAAAACCATCATTCTACGCCTTAACCGACTATAGGAGGACTTTTTCCTCCTGTAAAACGCTGAGTTAAAAGAAATTGTAAAGTCTATATCTGCTACACTTATGGGGTGTAGCTCTAGAATGGGGAAGAGGTTGATCATGAGCAGTGACTGAGGCTGGAATTTGGCCATTATATACGTATTGGACTACGGCGCCTTCCTTCTTTACAAAGTTAAACACAGAGTTCAAGTCCTGCACGCGGCCCTATGGGTCGCAATAGAGGCTGCAAATCACATATTTTGGTCAAATTTTGGTCATTAGGGACCCGCAGCTGAGGCCTTAAGACGAATTTCGGCTGCGGGTACTGTGGTATGGACTGCAGGACCCGCCTTATTTGCTGACCTCTGCACTCAACCAGAGGTCGGCAAATCGGTTTTCTATGCAGTGCAGGATGCATTGTGCACCGATGATCTTTAAGGATCTGCACCATCAGGCATCTCACCAAATCTGCATAGTCATCTCGGGGTAAAACCCATTTCGACTAGTGTAGTCAGCTTTTTCGAAGCCGAGAAGGGCTCGGCCCCGGTGCAGCAAATCACCCCGCAGGGAAGGCTGTACGGCACTGGTCTGCAAATGGAGGAACTATGTCGCGTTTGGACAAATAAGCTCATTATTATGGACACTTGCGAGGGCCGGGTGCGGCGGCCGGCGGTGTATGGCGTAGTAAAACAGAGTGGTAATGGTGGGTGGTGCTATACGGTGTTCAATCCCTTATATGACAATCCAAATGTGTGCAAGTGGTCCAGAAGCCTCCCACTTTGTAACAACAACTTATCAAATTTAAATATGTATACAGTTGCAGTTTGGCAGTCCTGCTGGAGCAGTTGGCATAGAGTTGCGGTCTGTGGCGGAGCTGATCAGCGTACAAATCATTATTGCTGATGGTTGTGGTTGGTATTATGGGATTCGCGATGGTGTGTTGAGGATGCGTTTTGAGGCCGCCGGGGGCGCCTGGGAAGCCGAAGGTGTTTTGTGGGGCGCGGAAAGCCATCTTCGCGCAGAGATGTACGTGAAGGAAATCCTTTTGGTGGATCGATAGTTTGGATTGTATTTAGGGCTGGGAATTACGGTTACGGTCCTTACGGAGTTGCGCATTACACCTTTCGCAATTACGGTGACCCCCCAAAAACACAGTAAAATGACGGTCCTTACGGTGTAATGCAATTACGGTTACCAAAAGGTCCAAATTACGGTCGGACCGTAAGCGTGCGAGCCAATACCGACGACCACACCTCAAAACATGCCATTTCGTCCCTTGGAGCTACGGGATAGTCTTAAAAAGCTTATTACACATTAACCTATGATTAAATTATCACAAAAGACAGCCAAAAAATGCTGAATGAGGCGAAAACATTTCAACCGGAGCACCGCGCGCGCATCGAGTACTGCATCTGTTGTATGCCATCATGCCATATGCTAAATCCTCAACCAAGAATGATGCTCCTAATATATACGGGCCGAACGTGCGTAACAGTGTCAGCCTCTGCCTCCTGGGCTGCGCATTGCCGCTAGGGGCATTTCGTCATCATCGCTGCTGGCGTCCTCCTCAGTGTCATTCTGTTGCTGCAGCGGCACTTGGGTCTTAGTTCCACTGTTATCAAGGTGGTCCCGCTGCTGCTGGCCCTCCACTGTCAGTGGGGGCAGGCTGTCCAACCAGTCCAGGAACTGGTCCCAATCCTTGTTGTTGACAGGGGCCTTGCGGTTAAGGACACGGTAGTTGTAGTAGATGTACACCAGGAGCCCCACACGGCCAACCAGCATGGAAGCCCGCTTGTCGGACCACGGAACCCACCGTAAATTTCGGTATTTACGGCGTTGCGCATTACACCTTTCGCAATTACGGTCCATTTTATGGGATTACGGTGTTTTTCCCAGCCCTAATTGTATTACCTTTTAAATGAAATTCTCAGATAAATGAAATACTCAGATCTGCGCGGCATGCGAGTTCATCGTGAGACACAATGTTGACAGACAGACAGACAGACAGACAGACAGACAGACACAGACAGATAGACAGACAGCAGTGACGGGGGCCTGGAAGTTGCAGAGCCAGCAAAGAGGTGTCAGGCCACTGCAGACCCCTGCACCACCGCGCAGCCAGTCGGCCAGCCAACCAACCTGATGTCGCCGCACGCACCGGCACCATCAGGCACCCTCCAGCCTGGGCTCTGATCAACAGGCGCTCATGACACGGCAGCATGAATTCTTGCGGCCCAGGTTATGCGGATGATGGCATCCTGGCCTCCATAGTAAAAAAATTTCTTTTATCTTTTGTTTTATCTTGCAGCAAAACTGTTCGGCGGCAGGCGTGCATATGCATAGCGGCTCCAGCGATTGGCTGAACCTCGCTTTCCATAGAAGTTAGTAAAAACAGGTAACCAACCATGCAGCCGAAGAACCACAGTGACCGTTGACCGTGCAGTGACAACCGCGTCGTCACTGCCTCTTCCTCTTTTCTCTTTTCTCCTTCCCTTCCCTTCCCTTCTCTTCTACACCTTCATTGACCTATCCCCCACACATATCATCTCACCCTAATCTCCATCCGGTTTCCATCTTCCTCTTGCCCTCTTCCCCCCCCTCCCCTTCCCCTTCCTCCCCCCCCCCATTCCCTCTCCCCCTCCGCGGAGTTGTTCATGTTCCAGCATGGTCGCTGTCTGTTCAGGCAGTCATGGGCGCCGCATCCTCCTGCTGCTTTTCCGCCAAGTACTTGGAGTCAACCCAGGATTTGAACTTCTCACACGCGGCCGCCAGGCCCCCGTCCACCTCGCTGTCCGCAAGCAGCTCGTCACCATGCACCAGCCGCACGTGCATGTTCAGGTCAAAGGCGTCACCCGCCTTCAATGCGGGACCAGCGGCCAGAGCAGCCTCGTAGTCCGCGTGCTCCTCCTTTACCTGCAGAGCGGATGGATGGATGTTACCGTAGGCGATGTGATGTTGGGTATCAGTGTGGGAGTATCCGCTACATGAACGGGGCGGTGAGGGTGAGGGTGAGGGTGAGGGTGAGGGTGAGGGTGAGGGTGAGGGTGAGGGTGAGGGTGAGGGTGAGGGTGAGGGTGAGGGTGAGGGTGAGGGTGAGGGTGAGGGTGAGGGTGAGGGTGAGGGTGAGGGTGAGGGTGAGGGTGAGGGTGAGGGTGAGGGTTGAGCTGTGTGTGGTGGGCACGTTTGGGGGGGAAGACGAACCATGTGGACCAATGAAGCCATGCCAAGGACAGACATATACACCAGAAATATGTAAAGAACTAACTAGCCAGGTTTGGGTTTGGGTTGAGGGGGAGAGCTGTGGGTGGGTTGGGTCACAGCTGGCCTGCGTTCCATATATAATGTGTGAAAGAGGGGGGGATGCGGCTGTGGGTTTGCGGCCAGACGGTTCCAGTCCTCGCTATGCCGGGGGTTCGCGCGACTGAAGGACCCGAGCAGTGCATGTGGGCTAACACACATATGGGCCAGGGCAACATGGGCAACACAAGGTGGTTCAAATGCGGCGGTGCAGTGGCCGCACGGAGACATGGAGCACGGAGGTACAAGCATACGGATGTACAGACGGGAAGGAATGCTGGTTGGATGCGGTTGGATGTGGGCAGCGAGGTAAGCACATTCCAGCCAGGTGCTATACAAGGCAGTTACTCAGCGTCGCGCACCCTGACTGCTCAACAAACACACATACATACATACATAAATACACACATACACACACAAAAAAGCACATCGCGGCCCAGAGACGCGCCGCTCTCACTGTCTCAGCCACAGCCAGCTAGGTAGGTAGGTGGTACACACTGCTGAAGACGCGCTCAAAACCCACCGCTTGCTCCAGAGGCTTCTCCAGATCCCGCACCCAGTCATCCGCCGCCAGGGGCTTGCCGGTGAGCCCCAGAACCAGGTCCAGGAAGGCGGCGCCGTTGCCGGGCCGCCAGTACCCCTCCACGAGGTCCTAATGGCCAAACGCCGCGTGCACGACAGGGCGTACGGCAGGGAGTTTGCTCGGCCATGTAGTATACTCATAGAAGAAGTGCCTATTTAGGAGTCCTAAGAGTTCTCCGTTGCCCCATCACATTATGGCCCTACAGTCATGTCTCTTTTGCTCAGCAACCTAGTGGGCAGCCGGCGGGAGACAGACAGACAGACAGACACATAGGGCCGCAGAGGCAGGGCCGCACACACTAACCTTTCCGATAGCAGGGTTGTCCACGATTTTGCCGTACTTGGATTTGAAGTATGCCCGGGTTTGCCGTACTGCCATCTCCGCCAGCACTTCAAGGACCCATGGGTGGGCGGGAGTTGGGCGGGTTAACAAGTAACGGCATCGGGACAACAGATAACCGCCGGCTGTTATGACAGTACATTATGACACGTACGAGCAAGAGTACGGCAGGAAGACAAGGGAGCATGCATGCCGATGCGAGCCAGAAAGCACCCTCCCCTCCCCTCCCCCGCCGTACCATATCCGTGGTAGTAGCAGGACGACTCGTCCGACAGGGGGTGCGGCACACTGAGCAGAGGTCGAGGGGACAGACCGCCCTGCGGGGGGAGGTAGAGGAGGAGGTGGGAGGGTGGGTTGCGTGGGGCCTGGTTGTGTGTGTGGGGGGGTAGGGGGGGGAGGCCAAAACACGGGATCCGCAGCGGCATGGGGACGGCAAGCAAAGCAACCGTATCTCATAATCATGAACAGTGTACGGCAACAGCGGCCAGCATCAACGGCCGCCCTCGGGCGTGACCGTTGGGGGGAACACATGTTGCTGGCTGACGGTCAGTGTACAACAACATGTAACGTATCGTACGATATACGACACCGTTGAAAGCAGCAGGAGGGGAAGGAAGGGAAAGAGGGCGAGGGGGAGGGGTCTGATCATTGACCACTAGTTGTGCCTCTTGAACCCAAGAGCAATCCCGACCGTGAAGGCTGCTCCTCCAGGTACGACAGCGGGTGCATTCGCTGCTCCGGAACCAACCAAAAACAGTTCTTATGCGGTTCCTGGAAGCACACGTGTGTACGGCACGTACCTGCACTTTGCGCTCCACCTCATCCGCCAGCGATAATAATCGTTCCACGGTCAGCTCGCTCTCGGGTAGCTCGTACAGCGCTTTTTCAAAGTACGGCACCGCCAGCATGCCGCGCAGTGCAAACACTTCGTACGGCTGTGTGGCCTTAAGTCCCTCCTCTATCACAGGCCAGGGAATGACCTCTCCGTTACGGTTGAGGGCGTACCTGTGCAGTTGGGTGCGTGTGTACGTATGTACGTATGTGTCAATACGTGACCCGATTCGCGGGTTATGTATACCAGTATGTATGTACGTCAGTATTGATGTATGTGAATATGTATGTCAGTGAGCAACAAGACGAACATGTTTGGGGGGGGGAGAGGAGTGAAGCGGTGCGCGGGTGTGGAGCGCATTCAGGTTGGGCCAAGGGGAGTGGTGGTGGTGGCGCGGGTGGGGGGGGTGGGGGTGAACCAACCGTCGCGACCCAACCACGGCCGTGTGACCTCTGGAAGATAGACAGACAGACAGACAGACAGACAGACAGAGCAACCTTGAGGGCTGCCTGTGTGTGCGCACTGGAATCACAATCCCCTTCAGTGGCCCTCTAAATCCGGTTGGTCGGGGCCAGGTTGGGGGGGGGCCGATGATGATGATGATGATGATGATGATGATGATGATGTAATGCTCGGGTAGTGCAGCGGAGGACTACCTACCTACCTACCTACCTACCTTACTATACCTACCTACTTTTCTTAACGCTACATACAGACATACAGACAGGTAAACAAGCCGTAAAGGGATGATGTGGCACGTACTAAGACTCCGGACCTCCAGCAATCGCAAGGAGATGCGGTCCACCCTCCGCACCACACCTCCGGCAAAACACGTCCCCGACGCCCCCGTTGCCCCTCCTAGGAAGCAGTGTCACACATACACGCACACGCACACATACATGTATACGGGCTGCAGGCCTCTCTCCCGCCTTCCCCCCTCCCCTCGCTTCCTACTAATCCGCACAATCGCCCAACCGGTCTTAGACAGACAGACAGACTGACAGACAGACAGATAAAACAGGCAGGCAGAGACAGACAGACACAGCACAGAGGCACGTACACACGCACCGACCTGCCCAGCCAGGCGCCGTCGTGGATGAGGGCGTCCAAAAACATACTCTGAGTCTCCGCATAAGCCACGGAGGTGGGGGCTCGTTCCTGACAGACAGACAGACAGACAGACAGATACAGTAGCAGGCAGAGTAGCAGGCAGAGTAGCAGGCAGAGTAGCAGGCAGAGTAGCAGGCAGAGTAGCAGGCAGAGTAGCAGGCAGAGTAGCAGGCAGAGTAGCAGGCAGAGTAGCAGGCAGAGTAGCAGGCAGAGTAGCAGGCAGAGTAGCAGGCAGAGTAGCAGGCAGAGTAGCAGGCAGAGTAGCAGGCAGAGTAGCAGGCAGAGTAGCAGGCAGAGTAGCAGGCAGAGTAGCAGGCAGAGTAGCAGGCAGAGTAGCAGGCAGAGCGGGCAAATAAGCGGAAAACTGCAAGGAGGGTTTAGGACGCGCTTCTGCAGGAAGGGTTTCATCCCGACCTCCGAGGGCACCCATCAGCCATCAGCCGGGGGCCGCGAGCCAGGCAGGAGAAGGGGGCCTGGAGGCCCAGACGTCCGTTTCGTTATATGGTTTTCCGAATCACCGAGGATACCCGAGACCCAGGTTCGAATCTCAACGCTGCCAATGCTGCCGGGCAACCTCCTCTGCCTAGTGCCTCCTGCTCCCTCCTCCCCCCTCTATACACACACACCGTTCTCCCCCCCCTCTTTACACACACACCTGGCTGAAGAAGGGGCTGGGCTGGTCGATGTTTGCAAAGTGGGCCGCGTGGCCGCCCTCGTGAAGTAGGGTCGCCAGGGCAGTGCGACCACTGCCCACTTGGCTCGGGGTGGCGAGGCTGGTGAAGTTGGCCTGGGGGGGGGAGCGGCATGCGGGGGTTGCGGGGGAAATAAAGAGGAGGGGGGGGAGCGGGGATCACACGCAACCAAGTCACAGAAAAACACAACGACGAGGGAGGTAGAACATTATATGCAATCATATTCAATCAGAAATGAGCTCCGGGTGCGTGGGGGAGAGGGAGGGGGAGCACATGCAGTCCAAGTCCAAGAAACTGCTTCCAGGCACTGGACGAGGGAAGGGGAGGCACGGCGTCAACGCATCAACAGGCGGCACCATGGAACCCGCATGTTCACGTGTCCTTAAGGTCCCCGGGGGTGAGGAGGGGATGACGCGATCGAGGAGGTGACAATCCTCTCCCCCCCACACCAGCACCCCCGCCTTGGGCCCCTTCCTCCCCTCCCCCTCCGTCCTCCTCGCGCACCCCCCCCCTTCCTCCTCCTCCCCCCCCCTCGGCACTACCTTAGCCGGCACAAATGTTCCGTCAGGTCGGCGCCACGCCACTTGCGGCCAGTGGCAGAAGCCGTTCGAGTACTTGCCAGCTCGGTCGCACAAATCCAAAGTCATTGTAGAGCCCTGCAGAGCGCGGGGGGTGGTGGAGCAAAGGGGTTGTGTGTGTGTGTGTTGGGGGGGGGGGAAATGGTGTGGACGGCGGCAATATTGTGGGCATGACAACAGCTGAGCACCGGAGTGGCACAAGGAGTGGAGGCGAGGGGAGTGAAGTGCAGTGTGACGACACTCTCACCATGTACTTAATTCCCAGCGCCGCAAATGTCCGGGCCCACACATCCACGGCCTGCTCGAAGGGGAAGTACGGGTCCTGCGCCTTCTCCGTGTCGCCTGGAGGGGTTAGGGTTAGGGAGGGGGAGAGGGGGTTTCGGCACACGCGTGTCTCATGAGGCGGCCCAGCCCCACATACATACATACGTACGTACATACAAATATACATACAAATATAATACATACATACATACATACATACATACATACATACATACATACATACATACATACATACATACATACATACATACATACATACATACTTGCATCCAATGCAAGTAAATCAAGCTCCACTAGTACCAGTCACCGCTCAAAGCGTTTCAATGCCCCAATGGGGGCTGATGTGTCCTCGTAACCCCCATTGCGGCAGCAGATAGATCCGATCAAAGGAAGAGGGGGCTGGTAGTCGTAGTGGTAGTGGTAGTGGTGACGCCGTGGCGGCGGGGGTGGTGATGTTAGGGGAGTTTGTGTGCGGGGTGGGAGAGAGGTAAACAGGTCCACAGACGGGAAATAATCGTCAGCCTCTCCGCACGTGCCGCAGCACGGTCTGTATTGCTGCAGCTGCTGCTGCTGCTGCTGCTGGCGGTGGTGACATGGCGTCACGGGATGTACCGCCGGCGGTTCTTATACACATGACACACGCACCCCTCCGCGCGCCCCTCCACACCCGGAGAGCCCGCTCCATCCCCCACCCCACCCCACCCCACCCCACTCCGGACACCCGCACCCGCCAGCGCGTAGCTGATGTTGTGTGGCTCCAGCGCCGCGGCGCCCTTCTCCCTGGCCAGCCTCTCCCGGGCCGCAGTCATGATGGGCGCCGTCTTGGCCTCCAGGTCGTCCAGGATGGCGAACAGCCGGCTCTTGCCGAAGCCCTCCGCAGAGGTGACCTGTGAGGCGCGTGGAGGGAGGGGAGGGGAAGGGGGGGGGGAAGACGAACCACGAACGAGTGAAGGGGAGGGGGAGGGACCGGGGGCGGGAGGGGAAGTATATGAAGATCATATGATGCGAAGTCAGGTTATGAAAGGCAGGTCGTAGAGCGGTCAGAAGAGCACCGGATGATGAGGCGGAAACCGATCGTGACGGTGTTGGCGGGGGAGCTGCCTTCCATCCATCCCCCCTTCCTTCCTGGACGAATCGAGGTTTCTTTAATTGGCTTGTTGATTGATCCTCACAGGGTATAATGCGGAGTGATGTGTGTGTGGTGTTGCCCGGGAAGTGGGCGCACAACAGAACGTGCGAAGGTAGGTAGGTAGGTGGGTAGGTAGGTAGGTAGGTAGGTGGGTAGGTGGGTAGGTAGGTAGGTGGGTAGGTGGGTAGGTAGGTAGGTGGGTAGGTAGGTAGGTAGGTAGGTGGGTAGGTGGGTAGGTAGGTAGGTGGGTAGGTGGGTAGGTGGGTAGGTGGGTAGGTGGGTAGGTGGGTAGGTAGGTAGGTGGGTAGGTGGGTAGGTGGGTAGGTGGGTAGGTGGGTAGGTAGGTAGGTGGGTAAGTGGGTAGGTGGGTAGGTGGGTAGGTAGGTAGGTGGGTAGGTGGGTAGGTGGGTAGGTGGGTAGGTGGGTAGGTGGGTAGGTAGGTAGGTGGGTAGGTGGGTAGGTAGGTAGGTGGGTAGGTGGGTAGGTAGGTAGGTAGGTAGGTGGGTAGGTGGGTAGGTAGGTAGGTGGGTAGGTAGGTAGGTAGGTAGGTGGGTAGGTGGGTAGGTAGGTAGGTGGGTAGGTGGGTAGGTAGGTAGGTGGGTAGGTAGGTAGGTAGGTAGGTAGGTAGGTGGGTAGGTGGGTAGGTGGGTAG